CATGCGAGATGCAACGAGTGCATTAAGAATAGCATCCTCATAGAGGGTGCTCTGCCCGAGCCGAGAAGGGCGCTTGTCGCAAAACAGAAAAGTCACATTGCACTACAGTCTGCACACCGGAAAAAGTACAGCGTGTGGCTCTTATACACATCTAGATGTGTATAAGAGACAGCCCTTCGTCTGCCATCCTTCCTGGGCAGGGGGTCCGGCGGATTGGGAACGCCGGACCCCCGACACCCGTTCGGGGGTAAGCCGAAAGGGGGGTCAGGCGGATTGGGAACGTCGGACCCCCCCCCCTTCGAAAAGTTCGGGGGGCTGAAAAGGGGGGGGGTGGCCGCTTCGGAACCCGAACCCCCCTTTGTCGGACATAAGGGGTCCGGCGTTCTCAATCCGCCGGACCCTCCACCTGTTGAACGGGGGGTCCAGCGTTCCCATTCCGCCGGAACCCTTTTTCAACCCGCACGGGCTCTGGCGCCGGACCCTCTGTTCATCTTGCGGACGCAGGACCTATCCACGCTAAAAAAGGGGGTCCAGCGGATTGGGAACGTCGGACCCCCTGTTGCTAATCCGCCGGGCCCTCTGCCCGCTTTGCGAACGGCGGTCCCCCCCCCCGCGTCAGAAGGGGGGTCCGCCGGATTCGAAACGCCGGACCCCCTTTGCTGAACAGAGGGGGACCGGCGGTCTGAATCTGTCGGAAAGGGGGAGCCGGCGGATTCGGAACGCCGGACCCTTCGCGTCGAAATGGGGATCCGGCGGATTCGGAACGCCGGACCCCCTTTGCTGAGCAGAGAAGGACCGGAGGTCAGAATCTGTCGGAAAGGGGGGTCCGACGGATTCGGAACGCCGGACCCTTCGCGTCGAAATGGGGGTCCGGCAGATTTGGAACGTCAGACCCCCTTCGTCGAACAGAGGGGGGGGCGGCGGTCTGAATCTGCCGGGTTTCCCTTAGCGCGCAGGGGGTGTCCGGCGTTCCCTATCCGCCGGACCCCCCCCCCCCCCCCCCCCCCTCCTCCCCCCCCCCGTCTCCTTCATCGCGAATGGGGTCCGCCATTCCGAAACTAACCGACCCTCTATCAGATTTACTATTGTCGGGCGTCTGGTCTTCGGGGGGAGGGGGGCTTGGGACCCCAGGCCCCACCGTCGCCGGATAGATGGGGTCCGGCAATCGCGATCCGCCGGTTTCCCCCCCCCCGCTGCGGATCCCCACACGGGATCCAGCGGATTGAGAACGTTGGCCCCCTGCCCTTGTGAACAAATCTCCGGCGTTCCAGATCCGCTGGATCCCTCCACTTGCGGCGCGGAGGGTCCGGTGTTCCGACTCCGCCGGGCCCCTGTTTCGGAACCGGGGCAGGCGGGTTCCCTCCACTGACGGACAGGCGTTCGGCATTCTGGGTCTCACGGACCCCCCTGCGTCGGATATGTGAGCCCCTGTCTCTTATACACATCTAGATGTGTATAAGAGACAGGAGTACGCGTTGAGGCCATAAACTTTAACTGTCG